GCTCAGCGGCAAAAGCGCCTGCCTGGCAAGCGCAAGGTCATGAGTTCGGTTCCCGGTACCGGAGAAAAACCAAAAAAAAAAAAAAAAAAAGTAATAGATTTCAAACCACATTCCTGATGATGTGGTTGGGATGCAAATTGAAAATATATATGAAACTGAAAATATAGACGAAACTGAAAACATAGATGAGATTGAAACTATAGATGTAATTGAATATACAGATGAAATAAACTCCTAGAAAGACATCACTTACCAAAACTGAATCATAAATATAACATCGGAATTGTCCTATCAGGGCCAATGATAGAGCTCAGTGGCACAGCACCTGCCTGGCAAGTGCAAAGTCCTCAGCTGGATTCCCAGTATATATATATAAAAAAAGAATAGACCTATCAGGAGAGTAAAGAAACTGAATAAGTAATCAAAATATCACAACAAAGGAAAGCCCTAGACCAGATGACTTACATGTTGTTTACTAAACATTAATATTAATCCTTATCAAACTTTTCCAAAAACTGAAGAGAGCATTTTCTAATTAATTCTGTGAGGCCAGCATTACCCTGATAATAGTCACAGATATCAAAACAAGAGAAAACTACAGTCCAATATTTCCTATTAAGAGGGGCTGGGGATTTAGCTCAGCGGCAAAGCGCCTGCCTGGCAAGCGCAAGGTCGTGAGTTCAGTTCCTGGTACCAGACAAAAAAAACACAAACAAAAAAAATATATATTTCCTATTAAGAAAAGAATTCCAGGGTGAGGAATGTAGCTCAGTGGTACAGCTTGCCTAATTTGTTTTAGGTTTGATTCCCCAGCACTTGAAGACAGGGAGAGAGAGAGGAGAGGGGAAAAGAAAGACAGGAGAGAAGAGACAGCAGAGAGGCGGAGAGGGAGGGAGAGAAATTATATCATTTATAAGAACATCAAAAGGAATAAAATAAATACTGTACTTAGGAATAAACTTAATCAGCGAGGCAAAAGACTTCTTAGAAGAGAATATAGGGGGGAAACTTTGTAGCATGGGATTTGGCAATGATTTGATAGACACAACTCAGAAAACATAGACAACAAAACAAAAAATTTGGCCAGGTGTGGTGGCACACACCTGTAATTCCAGCACTGGGAGGCTGAGGCAGGAAGATTAGTGTGAGTTTGAGGCCAACTTAGGCTCCATAGTGAGTTGAACACCAGCCTGAACCACATAGTGAGATCCTGTCTCAAAAAAAAAAAAAAAAAAAAAAGAATAGAATTGTCATATAGTCTAGCGATTCTATTTCTAAGTATCTGTCTCAAAGAATTGAAAGCAGGGACTCAAACAGATACTTATATGTAAATGTTTTGTTTTGTTTTTGGTATTGGGAATCGAACTCAGGACCTTGCACTTGCCAGGCAAGTGCTTATGTCGCTGAGCTACATCCCCAACCCTGTAAATGTTCATAACAGTATTATTCACAAAAACCAAAAGTTGAAAACCCAAGTGTGCATCAATGTACAACTGGAGAATTTTAAGCATATATCGTGCATACAATTTAATAGTATTCAGTGTAAAAAAGAAAAGGAAGCATAATATAACATGGCTGAGCCTTCAAAGCATTACGCTAAGGGAAATAAGCCAGACACCAAAGGATAAATATTATGATTCCAACTAAATGAGGTATCTAGGATAGGAACATTCATAGAGACAGGGAGTAGAATAGAGGCTGCCAAGGGCTGGAGAAGTAGGGAGAAGGTATGAGGAGTAATTGCTTGAGATGTACAGAATTTGGTTTGGGGATGAGCAAGTTCTGGAACTGGATATGTGTAATGGTGGCATAATGTTGTGAATACAGTTAGTATCAATAAAGCATACACTTCAAATAGTTACAATGTTAAAGTTTATGTTACTCTGTATTTCATTTGAAAGTGTTCTGGATATACAGGGAGTAAAATGAGACACAAACATATAAACTTAATGTGTGCCCATAAAACTAATACTCACATTGCAAGAATATACATATAAATTATTAGCATAATGAGACAATAACTCAAGTTCTAAAATTGACCCAGCAATGCAATGTAATTTTGATTAATAGCCTAACATTATCATCTTGTGGAATAAGCTGATCTTATATTTTCTCTGGAAATGCCAAGAATCAAAAACAGCTGAGACATCATCCTCTAAAGGAAAACGGGCTTTATTAGGTATAAGCCATGTAAGATTATTAAGTTAGTGAGGTAATTTAGGCATTGCACTAAGATAATACAAGGGACAACAATTAGGCTAACAGAATATAACAGAGCCTAGAAACAGACCTGCATTACACACAGTTGATTTATAATAAAATCAGTAGAGAAGTTTTTTAAACTAACTAATGGTTGTAATACTGAATAGCTGCACAGCGAAAGGAAATTTACTCACTGTCTAACATCATACAGAGCTTACATTCCAGATCTATCTATGGAACATAAAATTACGAAGCTTGGGAGGCAATTTATGGGACGTATCTTTTTATCTCCTGTGTAAGAGGACAGGGGACACAGAAATGGAAATACTGGTAAGTTTAACCATATTAAAATCAAGACTACTGTCTCCCTATGTCTACCAACCTTAAATTATTTACATTTCTCAGTCTCTACTGACTCCTTGCTTTGTAAGATTCATGTTAAACCTATTCTAACATCTCCCTTTTGAATTACTATCAAGACTCTACCAAGTTGATGTTCTTCCTTGCTCTAGTAAGTGAAGCTTGGGTTTGATCACCAGGTTTCCTTAGTGGTTTTTGTGGAGGAGTTCACAACTGCTAACCCCTTGGTTTTTGGGATATATACCAAAATCATTATAGGTGATATTTCTGAGATCAGCTCCAAAGTAAATTCAATAAAAGAGAAAAGAGATAGCGGTAGATAAAATTAGTCATTAAGTTATTGATGCTGGGTAATGGTACATGGGAAGTCACTAATCTATTCTATGGTTGTTGTTTTAAATTCTCTGTAATAATAAAGAAAGGTATTTTTCTTTTTATAGTCCACAACAAAGGGTATTCATTACAGTCAAATCAAACTCATGTCTGTGACTATCAGACTTAATTTCAAAAAGCATCTAGCAAAACAGAACCTCAATTGTGCTGGGTTTTGCAGTTCTGCTAGTGCAGAACTGCAAAATAGAATGTAGAGACAAATAAAAGGGGTTATAGTTGTTTTTATTTTTGTTTTTGTTGAGACAGGGCCTCACTATATAGATCAGTATTTTAGTGTGAGTTCATAGTGTGAGAGGGAAAGTTCATAGTGTCTTGAACTCACTATGTAGCCCAGGCTGGCCTTGAACTTACAGTGATTCTCCTGCCTCAGCCTCCCAAGTGCTGGAATTACAGGCATGCACCACCATGCCTTCTTCAGAGTAGTTATAGATTTGACAGTTATTGTTAATACCTTCTACAACAACTCCAATGTCAAACTAAGAATAAATATAATTAACTCAAATTTAACATTTAAAACTTTCAAATTTCTTTTTTATTTTTAAAGATAAAGAAGGAAAACACACTAACAAACAGACATAAACAAAACAACACCCAAACAATAGAAGCAATACAGTTTCAGACAAGATGATAGAAAATTAACAGTAGATATTGTATTACATATTGTTATCTTCAAACTGGTTACTCAGTTAAACAAATATAGGCATTTAAGATTGATCAAACAGGCTGGGGATACAGCTCAGCGACACAAGCGCCTGCCTGCCAAATGCAAGGTCCTGAGTTCAATCTCCAGTACCAAAAAAAAGATTGATCAAACAATTAAACATTAACTGTTCCTTTCAATAAAGCAATAGAAGTTGGTAGTATGACTCTCTCAGTTATCCTATGTGTGTGTGTGTGTGTGTGTGTGTGTGTGTATAATATATACATACTTTTTCCCTTCTTTCTTTTTCTCTTTTCTCTCATCCCAGTTGTTCCCTCCCTTTGAACAGTTTCTTTCCCTTTCACAACATTTATTATACCTTTCAGATTTTATTTACCCTTTCAGATTCCTACACTAGTGAAACAATACGGTATTTACACATTAGCATTTGAATCTTGTCTAAAACAAAAAAAGATTTTTTTTATGCCATGTGATTTATTCAGAGGGTGAAAGTATGTTACAATGAGCTAAATTTTTAATTGTGTTTAGAATGTGCTGTTTCTTACATTGTACTCTGGAAGGTGAAGTTTCTTATACTTTCTTAGAATCCCGGATCCTATGATTGATCAGTATTAGCATCCCATGCACAGCAGAAGTGATGCTTCATTTGAGGCTTTGAATAGCTAGTCATATAAGATGACTTTTCTGTGCATTTACATCGAGGAGGATCCAGTTCAGGTTGATGTCCTGGGAACCAATGAGGCTCTCGCTTAAATCCTGAGGGGAGGAAAGACAAAGGAAAACAGTCAATAACAAGAGTGTTGGGGCTGGGGATTTAGCGCAGCAGCACAGTGCCTGCCTGGCAAACGCAAGGTCGTGAGTGCAATTCCTGGTACCAGAAAAAAACAACAACAACAACAACAAAAAAAAAAAAACAAGAGTGTTAACAACTGACCTCACTCTTATTTGAGGGGATAGTGAGGCCTATCAAAACTGAGCAAAGAGAAAAACTGTTCACTTAATCATTTATTTAGTTTTTCTTGTTTGTTTGAGACAGGGCCTTGCTACATATTCTAGGCTGGCCTTTAACTCACTATGTAGCCCAGGCTGACCTCGAACTTGTGGCAGTCCTCTGGCCTCAGCCTCCTGAGCGCTGAGATTACAGGCGTGCATCGTCACGCCTGGCTCATTCGCTTTACTTTTATTTGTTTTCCTTCTATGTGCCAAACATTGAGTTAGATTCTGAGAATGTAACAGTTAAAAAGACTAGTCCACCTACTATGGGTTGAAAGTGGCGCTTTGCTGTTGTAGCTTGTATCATATATTGTTTCAAAGTAGTGTTGGAACTGGAAAGAAAAATTATTAGATTAAGAATCTAGAGTCTACATTTAATACCGGGAAATAAAGGACATTACATGAAATTTAATGGGTTCTGTCATGTTTCAAATAGACTAGATGTCTATATGCTGTTAGTCAATGTATTACTTTCATATTCTTTGTAGATTTGGTGGCTTGGGAGAGTATTAAGTGCAAGACTCAGATATATGACAAGTCCAGGTAGGCAGGGGCCAAAGAAAAGCAGGTCAAGTCAGAAGACATTATATCTTCCTGTAGGTTAACAAAGTCTAAACAGAAGCAAGAAAAAGTATTAACCATCCTTTTGATTCTTTGCATTTAATATTCAACTTGATAATAAAGTAGGATACATGGTCCAGTTGAAGACTGATCCTCTCCCCAATCACATTACTGAACAGAAGACTGGGAAGTTCTGAGATTGCTGCACTGGTATTTCTTCTAACAGGAGGAAACAAAAGAAGAAAAAGCCAGATTACCTGGGAAGGCAAGGGTTTGGGCTGCACAATATTCTGTAGGTCATATCTTTCCTGGTTCCAGTTACCCATCAGAGTTCGGTTAGAATAGGAATTCTCATTAGTGGTACATCTCCATCCATACTGGAAAAACTTGGACATATCATTCCAATCTGTCCACACTTCAGCATGGCCATCTGCATTAATGAGGCTTCCATAGTGTGGGTTTGTGAGGAAACGGACAAGGTACTGTTTCTGGAAAAAAGACAAGAATAGAAAAGCTTATTGTACAAACTAAGAGCAGAAAAAGTTCCCCTTCCTACCCTGTGCTTCATATGGCAAGGTATAACACAAGTATACCGTACTTAAGCTCTGTGCTTTCCTCCAAATTTAACTCATGCAGTTCTGTTTCTTTTTCTGAGGTCCATGGATCTACTGACCTATCCTCTCAACCAGCAGTAGTGGATGACTCTATAAATACTTCCCTAACACTGAAAAATACAGAAAAACCTTTAATACCTCGTATGGAAAACTAGCTAAACGTTTGGGTAATTTTGAAGTGTAAGAGTTGAGGGACTAAGGGCATTACTACAAAGAGAATGAGAAGTGAGCTAAGTAATACCATAAATGATCAATAAGTAATAATTCCCTCTGTTGTAGTCCCAGCTCAAATAACACCTCCCCTGAAGTTAACCACTCTCCCCTTTGATCTTGTACAGAACTTTATCTTCACTTTTTACCATATTTATATCTTTCTACTGTACATTAGAGCTCATCATGTATGTCATATCTCTTCTACTGAACTGTACATTCCTTGAGGACGATCTGTGTTTTAGTATTGCATGCTGTCCTTCTACCTTCCCAATCAATAGAGCTTTGCATATACCAGATGATCAATATCTGAATTTCATTTTTGGGTAAGGGATCAAAAGCCTAACTTTTTTGGGGAGTGGGAAATAAGTCTAATCTTCTGGCTTAGGAGCAAGGTGATACCTCCTCTGAAGAGCAATAATTTGATGAGTAGGCTGACTTGTCTGAGAAGTTCATGAGATACTGAAAAAAATCCATATGTTGTTGTTCCATGATTACGGAAGATGTCACCAAGCATGGTCTGCCCAGGTATCCAAGCAAAGAAAAGTAGGTAGATCACTCAGGTCCCCAAAGCCACGTGGCCATGATCCGGGAGCCACAACCCACCTGCCCTCTCACAGGCAGAGGCAAAGCCTATAAGGTAGCACTAAAGGGTGGCATCTCAGCTAACTGCCCTCACACCATACGCCTTTGTGAAGACAGGTGCATTCACTGATGTCACCAAAAAGCATGATGACCACAGTAGCTGGTCTCACAAAGTACAGCAGGCTTCTTGCTCACACTGGAGACCTAGGTGATGCTGTCCTTAGGGTTGGAATGACAGATATCACCGTCCATCCAGCTGTCCAAGATAGATGCCTGGGGCCTATCTTTGATCAGGGGCTTATCTTCGATTTCTTTCAGCATTCATCCAATTGCTTTAAGTCTTGGTTTCTTAATACTACTGTCCATCTTCAATGCCAAGTTCCAGTTCAGCTCACTGTAAATTTTTTGTCTCCAGTACTGCAGTTGCCTCCTATCTATTTCCTTGTTTGGTTTTGTTTTGTTTTGTTGCCTTTTTGAGACAGGGTCTCGCTATGCAGTTCCGGCTGGACTTGAGCCCACTTTGTAGCCTAGGCTGGTCTCGAACTCACAACAATCCTCTTGCCTCAGCCTCCTGAGTATTGTATTTCCTTGTTATTAACCTTATTCCTCTCTAATACTTTCTGTGAGGAAGGAGAATTTTAAAAAATGAAAGTTTGGTTGTATCTTATTTAAAGTCTTTCAGTAGCTGTCTGTTCTCAGAATATGGTTTAGACTGCAAAAAATAGCTTACTATCTCCATATGACCTGGTCTGAACTCAACTGTCTCCTCTCCTCCCAACCGTGTTTCTGCCAAACTCAACCACTCTGTTTTTCTTTGGTACTGGAGACTGAACCCAGGACTCTCGCACATCCCAACCCATTTTCAATTTTTTTATTTTGGGACAGGATCTTGTTAAACTGCCCAAACTGGGCATGAATTTGCAATCCTCCCTCCTCGACCACCTAGAATGCTGGGATTACAGACTTGGAAACTACTCCTTTTTTTCACCCTGCTCTTGGATACATTATTCTTTCAGGCTCTTTATTCCTTTTGAACCTGGTAAGGGTTTGTCGTGTCTGTCCCTCTCACTCCTTTTAGCTTTCAACGCTGCTTCACTTCAGGAAATCTTTACGTTTTGCCCCAAACCTCGGTAAGATTCCCCTTCTATGTGCTTTGACAGGACCGTTTTACTCCACTGATAGTATATGTCCCACTATATCAGAATTGCCTCTTTTGCTCTGCATTCTCCACCAGACTGTAGACAGGCTACATCTTTTTCTTTCTGAGACAAGGTCTCGCTATGCAGTTCAGGCTGGCCTTGAGCTCACTTTGCAACCCAGGCTGGCCTCGAACTCGCAAGGATCCTCCTGCCTCAGCCTCCCGAGTGCTGGGATTACAGGCGTGCGCCACCACGCCCGGCGACAGGCTACATCTTGTACATCCACATAACTAACACTCCTCAGTGGCATGGCAGAGATGATACTTCTCGAATGAGTAGGTTAGAAGATAGAAGCACCTGGAGAAATTCTGAGCAGCAGAGACACGGACAGGCAGCCATTTCAGACTAGATGAGCGCAGTTTAAAAAATCCTAAGCATCAGGAACATGCAGGACACAGCCCAATCTTTTTTGTCTTCAGCTCCGCTCTGCTCCTTTCTCCCGGAGCTAGTCTCTCCCGCCTCCTACGCTAGCGACTGCTTGTGACCTCATGTTGGTGTGAAGACGTCACTCAGTGCCGTCCTTGAACTACAAGGCATTTTGATCTTTCCGGAAGCGGGAAGGTGAGAGACAAGGGCACTAGGTATCTCGCTCTTGCACTCATGGTTATTGGGAATCGCCGCACAGGTTTGTCGAGAAAATCTAGGGCCCGCAGCACGTCATCAACCATTGACGGGTGAAGAGGAGGCGGGCAGAGACCTGCGAAGGAAGTGACGTAGGAAACAAGCGCCAAAGAGAGAGCTAGCGAGGTGTCAGTGAAGGCCATGGCCCCTCGACGCCTCCTGTTGGTCGGAGAGGGGAATTTCTCTTTCGCTGCCGCTCTGAGCGAGACCATGGATCCGAGATCTAGTCTAACCGCCACCTGTCTCCAACACCCAGCTGACTTGGCCCGGGATCCCGTGGCCCAGGAGAATCTGCGGCGCCTGCGCGAGCGAGGTAGCGGGATCCGCCCCTTTCGCGAAGCCCCGCCCAGCTGCCGGAGTGTCCAATAAGGAAGGGGTGGGGCGTGGGGAATGTGATGTAGGGGTTGCTCTGGGTTATCTCGGGGACAGTTCCTTAAGGTCCGCTGTACTGTTCAAGTTGGGAAGGTATTTTGTTTCCGGATCTTGAGGCGTCTTTCTAGCTGTATGTCACTCTCTTAAACTGTCCTTGGCAGGTACCGAGGTACGTTTCGGTGTGGACTGCACCCAACTAGCAAATGCCTTTGAACCACACAACAGGAAATTTGATCGAATTTATTTTAATTTTCCTCACTGTGGACGCAAAGCTGGAGTAGCTAAGAACAGGGAACTGCTTGCCAAGTTTTTTCAGAGGTGAGGAAGAGCGAGCCCGAAGTAAGTTACTATTACATGTTTGCAGAGAATACAAAACCCCAAAGGAACCCACAATCTAATCTATAACCATAAATACTAAATAAAACTACAAAGTGTGCTCTTGAGAGGATAAAAGGAGGATAATTTATTTTTAATAATGCAGAGTAATGACAGCAAGTATAGTCCGATGGCTAAAAGGATGAACTGGCTGGATTCAAATCCTGGTTACATTACTTAGTAGGATTTTCAATACTGCTTTTCTCTTTTTCTTTCTTTTTTGGTACCAGAAATCGAACTCAGGGCCTTGCACTTGCCAGGCAGGCACTGAGCTGCTGGACTGTATCCTCAGCTTGTATTTTAAGCAAGTTTCCTTAATCTGTATGTGGTTCTGTTTTCTTATCTATAAACTGGGAATCTATAAACAGTAACTGCATCATACAATTATTTGGAATTTAAAATAGTGCTTTACAGTACTATGTCAAATACGTGATACTTCTGGAGGTCTCTACTAGGTCATACCTATCAAGCAACCTTTCACAAAAACAGTGCTTTAAACTATATTTAAAGTAGAATTTTGGGTCGATCATGACACTTTAATTGGGCTGAAGAGAGGTGATAACATAAAAATCATGCAAAAAAAAAAAATAAAATAGAACTTTGCTAGCCAGAAGAAAATGAAAAAAACTTTCTAAATGGGGAGAAACATTCCGTATGATGAATGTGATCATTGTGGATATCAGAAGTGTACCAATAAAATTATTTTTTTAAAAAATGAGGTTGGGCATGGTAGCACACACTTGCAGTCCCAGCACTTGGGAGGCTGAGGCAGGAGGATTGCCACAGTTTGAGGGCAGTCTAGGCTACAGAATGGGTTCAAGGTCAGCCTGAATTGCAAAGTGAGACCCTGTCTCAAAAAACTCCCCTAAAATAAGTAAATAAATAAGTAAAAATGGGGAGAAACAGTCCAAGCAGGGAATTATGTATAGGAAGTTCGCAGATTGATATTTCTATGACATATAGATAAACAACATTAAAGCATTAAATAATTTGCATTAAAGCAGATGCCAAGAATTGTTATGGGGCACATGCTTATACTGTATATTTGCATATTTTTGCATATTTGAGGTTTAATGTTTGCAACTAGGATTGGAGTTTAATTATTTCACAGCTAAACTACATGTATATTGGTACCTCCTCTGGTAACTTCTACTTGTTTCTGATAAATTCTGGGTATTTTTTTTTATCCTATTAGCTGTGCAGATGTTCTTTCAGAGGAAGGAGAAGTTCATGTGGCACTGTGCAGAGGACAAGGTGGTACTCCTGCTGATAAACCCCAGCGAGAATGGCACAACAGTTGGCAAGTGGTTGCCATGGCAGCTCAGGGGGGTCTCATTTTAAGTGATGTGCTTCCCTTCAGCTGTGAAGCTGTACCAGGATACAAGTGCACTGGATATAGGTAAGTAGTAACATAGACCTAAGCCTTCTCCTTTTTCATTTCTCTCACTCATGAGAAACAATATGCTGGGCAGGCTTTTTTCCTGACAATTTCCTAATTAAGTTTCTAGAAATACTTGCTTTCATTAGTAATGACAGACTGTATACCATACTGTTGTCTTTTTGACCAGGAGTCAAGATAAATCTTTTCACATAGAAGGTGCTTTGAACCATATCTTCACCCAGAGCTTACCCTTTGAAGGTTCTAAACCCAGAATCTTCAGAATCAAGCTGGGAGACAAGTGTTTTTCCTTTCAAGAACCAGAAGCACTTGCAGGAAAGTTGAACAGGTAACTTCTTACTTTGCTGGGAATTAGTTACACCTCTAGTTGTATCCTGAACGTTTTGATGGACAACTATATTTTGAACAAATGATAATCAGTTGTGCCACTGAGCTATATCCCTGGCCTGATATATCAGTTGTTAATGATGTTGATATTGTGAGTACTGGTCAGTCTTGGTATATTGTAAGGGTGGTGGCTGCTACAGTTCTGGAAAAATGTTAACTCTCCTTTACTGAGAGTGTAGCATATTGTTAGAGTGCTTGCCTCGCATGCTCTGAAAAAAAAGAAGAGAAAATGAAAATTAAAGTGTCTGATATCGCTCCTTATGATAGATGATTTTTGTTTCTTATCATGATCATCTTAAAGATAATTCTTTTCTATATAGCCATTTATGTTTTAATTCTTGCTGCATTATAATTATTTATTATTTTAAGTGAGAAAAATTATTTTGTGTGTGTTTACACAGGGGTTTTCTGGAAGCATCTTCAAGTCATCCTATCAAAGCCATAAATGAGAAACTCATTGCTGAATTGGGCTCAGCTTTCCCTTTGAAAATGCTGAAGTGTTCCTGCCCCCTGCTGCCACAGGAAAGCACCAATGTTTTCCCTTCCTGGAACTGTGACATTCTGTCTCCCTTTTGGATTAGTCTCTATGAAGATAACTTAAATTCCAAGTCTTTGACTGGTGAAACAACACAAGAGATTGAGGACTCTCCGGTGTCATTTTCAGAACTCATCCTTGCCAAGAGTCCTAGAGGAGATGATAGTGAAGAAGCTCCTGAAGGAAGCTGTGGACACGTCAAGGTCTGCCTTAGAGCTTCTCTTTTAGTTCATGTTCAGGCTGTCATTCAAGCACCAGACTTCCTCCCAGGTTCTTTGCACATCCTCAGTGGACCTGTTTTTCGAAAATGCCACATTTTGCCCTGCACAATGCCAGCATTTCATGAGACTTTAGTTATCTTTGGGGTCGATCAAAATCTGAAGCATGACTGTCTTTTATCCTTGCTGGATCACCTAAAAGCTACTCTAGAGAGCCTTCTGGCCCAGACACTGTTAGAGGATACTAAGCTGAGCAGTTCCGTGGAGTTTGTCTTTCAACCAAATGGAAAAGATTATATGATTCATGTGAAGTCTCCTAGTTTTGGCCCAGATTGTGCCAAAGATCTGATTATTGGGGCTGTGATCACATCTGCTACAAGCATTACACATAAGGACCAATGTTTTGTGATTGTATCTATAAACTTGGACTTCTTAACTATGCTTGTCTGGAGTATCTCTGACTGGAGAATGTTGTGGACCTTTGATAACCGTTTCCTGAAAAATTTTGTCACTGAGAAAATAGCACCCTTTAAAAGCTATTCCCTGTATCCTCCACGCTATGTGCATGATATTAGTTTCTGGTTAGATGAGAAGAAAGGATTTGATGAACTAGAGTTTCACACTGTGGCCCGAGCAGTGTCCCAGGACACTATTACATCCATACAGTTACTTGGTCGTTTTCATCATCCAAGCACTGAACAGGTCAGCTTATGCTATAGATTGACCTACCAGGCATGTGATATGGCCCTTACCCAGCAACAGGTAGCATTAATGCAGTTCCAGTTTAGAAAAGAGATTCAACAACGACTACATGTTATACTTCGATAATTTAGTAAGTTCATTCTACAGTGTGATCCTTCATTTTGAACAGATGAAAAAGAATAGCTTACAATTGGTTGGGTGTCCTCTCTGGACTGCGTTTTGTTTGTAAAATCTAAAAACTGTACAAGAGAAATCGTTGTTTTAAAAACTTGGTTCTTTTGAAATTGTCTAGCTCTGTAACTGCTTCATGGCTTTGTAATTACTTTCTTGACTCCTGTAACCATGAGAGTGTAACCTGCACAATGCAGGATACCTGATTGTACCATTGTACCTAGCTTCATGAACTGATGATCGTTAATCTACCCTTGTACCTGATGAACGCACCCTGCTAGCTAATCAGAAGAACTGCTAGGCTGTTCTGTCTCACCTTTGTGCGTCATATAAAAGCCCTAGACAACCAGAGTTAAGGGTCTGATATTCTGGGAATGATCCTGATCAGTGCCATGGACATAAATAAGTCTGCCTCCAAATCCTGGGTGTCATTTCGGTGTTTCTGCCTGCCATTGCATTAGCACTGTTGGTTGACCCTGAAGAACCCGTAACTATATCACTCAAATTTACAGAATGTAATATGATTGGGGATCTTTGGAGTTGTGCAGTATTTTGGTTTTGAACAATAGATATCCCCCACTGAAACAAAACACAACAAAACAAAAAAACCAAAACCAAAACCAGCATCCTGTACTTTAGGCACTCTGTTGCTGAGAAGCAATAGAACTTAGATGTCTAATCCAATGTATTTGTAAGTATATTTCCCAAGTTGTCCGTTCTGATTCCTTTAACTCTGTTACCACACTAATTCAATTTATAAGGTTGGCTTTTCCCGTTAGGCCAACATTTATTAGCTTGGTAAGTTGTAGGTGTTTTATAATTAGTGTTATTATTCCTGTGTCATATCATTTTTTTTCTGGAGTTGGCTTATTAAAGTCGTGGAAACAATAAATGCCAGATTTAGGATTAATATTTGGGTCTGACTCTAAAGCAGTGGTGGTGAACCTATGGCACAGGTGCTACAGTGACCTGCTTGTATTACTGAAAGCCCTGAAATGTTCACGTCACTGCCCCAAAGCCATGTTCTTCCCGCTACTTTCTGTGACTTTCCCTTCCTTAGTCTTGATCAGCAGGAAATAGACACATGAGATATATCCAAACAGAATGTGTAACTGGATAAGTAATTGCTGCATGTGGGGAACTGACCCATAAGACTAATCTCTGTTTTAATACAGCTTGGTTGAAACTATAATTTTCTGGGACTCTGTTGATATCAGCACTTTACCTATAAACTTGTTTCAGTTAATGTTACAGAGCTCCACAGGGCGGGATAGAGCTCCAGGATTGGGGGAATGGACAGAATAGGATTAAATGAAGGATCATCAAGATCAGTTGTTATCAGCCATATATGCCTTTGTGAAACTACCTGTATGAAATCAAGGGTTTTCTCTGGATCTGGTGCAAAGATAATGGGTTTGTAAATAAGTCAATCCTCAGTTGGAATATGGCATCACTATTTACTAACTATGCAATTTTGGGGCTTGGTTCTTTTAATGAAATCAGGTGGTTGTAGGAATTACATTTATTTATTTATTTATTTATTTATATTTTGAGGCAGGGTCTCACTAAATCACTAAGTTGTTCAGGAGAGGCTTGAATTTTTGATCTGCCTGTCTTAGCCTCCTAGAATGCTGGGACTGCATACAGGTGTGCACCACAATACTTGGCTAAGAATTAAAGTGTTAAAAAGGAATAAAATGTAAAACTGCCTACCACAACGCAGCAGAAGCAAAAATAGTCATTGACATCTAGTTGAATTTGCTGCACAGAATTTCATTAGTCTTTCACTTCTTTTTTAAAATTTTTTTTATTTTAAAGAGAAAAAAAAATATATCCATACAAGGTAGTTAAGATAGCTATACTACTAATTTCTTAGTTTATTGAAAAGAAAGGTTTGTGCTAATATTGTTTGGACAATTATATGTCTGTATCTTGTACTTTGAATAACTAAAGTCTTTCACTTTTTAGTCTGCATTCTGGCATTACTGTTTTGTCTCTTAAGCACTGATTAGTTATTGGTTGTCTTTGACACTCAACAAAATACAGAGAGGTCTTAAAATGACCTTTTACGGGCCTCTCCTTTGGTAGGCAGCCGTGCTGATGATCTTTAACTGAATACCTCCGAACGCCTCACTTTATAGAGTTGTGTAACCACTTTTTATTTGTGTTTTCATTTAAATAGGGGAACTGGAGGTTAGTTTTCGTAGGCGAGTGGAGAATGCTGAAGAGTGAAGAAAGTTAAAAGAAATACCCAGAGTTCAAAGTAGTAGGAAGAACGCCAAGTCTCAGGTTCCATTTGTTCGCTATTCAGAGATCTACCCCAGTTGGCCCAGTCCTGTTATAATTTGGTCTTGTCTGCGCATGTCACGGTCTTTTGTCCCTCGGCGGACACCGTTTGGCAGCCAAGCTATGTCTGCGCGCTCGCTGACTTCGTAGTGTGCGGAATTGTACCTTTTTCCGCGCTTGCCATGGCGAGCCGAGGGACTCGGCAGCGACTGAAGGGCGGCGGCAGTAGCGGCGGGGACCCGGCCCCGGCCGCGGACAAGCTGCGGGAGCTGCTGGGCAGCCGAGAGGCGGGCGGCGCGGAGCACCGGCCCGAGCACG